TGTATAATTTACTAGCGGACCCGACAGACGTTGTCCTGCAAAAATTCATTCAACTTGATCCAGCCGATTAGTTGTAGTATAGATAAATAACCTAGATACCGACTGCAGCGCCATTTGCCGGGCTAATTTTTGAATCTAAACCATTCAGAGTACCACCCAAACGAATACAAAAAAAATATATTCAAATCGGTCCAGTCGCTTAGGAGGAGTTCAGTGACAAACACACGCACAGAAGAAATATATATATAAAGATTAGAAATACTGATTATCAACTCAATAGTTTCCAAATTATGTATCCGTAATACACATACCACACAGCCACCTAAACTACTTGAATACAAAGTAAATATCTACGTAGTTTCTAATTCAGATCATCCCCACAGGTTATTAACTGATAGTGACGTGGTTGTCAAAACTTTACGAACCTCCCCACTATCTTGTACAATTTGAGATCCCTTGTGCGTTTGAAAGTTACTCTTATGCGATACATAGTGACAAAGACAAGTTTCCTAATATACGTCGTAACTTATTACTTACATTGTAACTAAGAATTCATTGTGAAAGTTCAGTTTAGTTTGTTGACACTCCATTAAAATACATATGACTGTTTATAACACTGATTAGGCGTAGTACGAACTTGTTTCGAGGTTAATTATATTCAATGTGAAGTTGTTAATAAAGATTTGCTGCATTCGGAGTTACAAGCAAACAAACCTTTTGTTTCCATCCTGACTTTTTCTTGAGTTTTCCTTGAGTTCCACTTTAAGGATTGGGGTAAGTGTTATACAATTCGACATAACCCGGTCTGTTATTCCTTTCGACCCGTATCCGTAAACGGATGCCACGGCGTTAAAAAAATCGTGTTATAAAATTGTGAAAATTATACCTCATATCTCAAAGTTGGCCTTCAAGTTATGATATTTATCTGTTTCGGTAATAAATTAATAATAGATGCGCTGTGAACGCGTACACTATATACGCAAAAATAAAAAATAAGTAATATTTTTTATTATTTTATTATTATTCGTATATATCTATTAATCGCATAAGTTATTAAACGTGAGTGAAGTACAAATGCTAACTTCGAAACGTACTACTCGCCTTAAAGTTCTCTATCACGAATATTCTTATCAAATATTCGAAGTGAGTGCAGAACTTGTAAGTTCGAAATGTCTCGAAACTTCAACAGTACGTATTACGTATGTAAAACAGCTATGCACAATGTATCGGGAAACCATTGTGGTACATCATACGACCCATGTGTGCAGGTGCACGGTACTCATAACATGTTTTTACAACCGAATGTAAAGTTTAGAAGAGCGTGTTATCAACTTTAGCGATACCAAAGTAACGATTTCACTTTCACAAAATTTTGGGTTGTTTCATTTTGTATTATCGTAAACTCAAAATGTAATTCAAGGTTTATTTCAAAACATACAACTTGGATAATATCTGGACTTAGATAATTTAAAAACGTCCAACACGTATGCAAGTTCAGAAAATTCAAACTGTCAGTCTATTGTAAAACATACACTCTTTTATACTTTTTTTTTTATTGCTTAGATGGGTGGACGAGCTCACAGCCCACCTGGTGTTAAGTGGTTACTGGAGCCCATAGACATCCACAATGTAAATGCGCCACCCACCTTGAGATATAAGTTTTAAGATCTCAAGTAAGTTAGAACGGCTGCCCCACCCTTCAAACTGAAACGCATTACTGCTTCACGGCAGAAATAGGCAGGGTGGTGGTACCCACCCGCGCGGACTCACGAGAGGTCCTACCACCTGTAAAAAATACGATTACGTTTTGTAATACGATTCCTATTAATGTGTCTGTTTAATATGTAATAAAATCTATCACACCACATATTAATCCCCTGGATATTTTACCCGTAATCTATTTTAAAAAAATCTGTTCCTTATTAATTCCCAATTTTTTTTATCAAATAGGTAATTAATCATATAATTTAATTATAAATATAATTGTAAATTGAAGTTCTACTTATATGATTAATGAACAAATAATTTAATAGTGAAATAAAATAAGTTAGTAAGTGTTGTAAGTAGCAAGTAGTAGTTGTAAAGTCTTAGTAAGTTAGTGTTTAGTTCAAAACAATTTAAATATAAAAGTATAATAACATACTATTAGGTATATTATTTTCATGTAGCTTTAATACTAACGTAACAACGAAATTGAAATCGAAAATATCTGAAAGCCTCTTTACAGAACTTCTGAAATTAATAAGTTAAATTCGACCACGCTTTGAAAGCTTAAATCTCACAACAAGAGAACTTTTGAATCACATCGTTATGTCAACGGACGGACGTTCATTCTGTCAATGAAAAGCTTTCTAGATGCTAATTTGGCAAACAAACAAAAGCGTAGGCCTAATGAGGGACGCTTGCGGGTCCGAAGACAAACTTTCTTATTCGAAGGGAAGGGCCCGGAGTTCTTCCGTTCACTCCATTTACTTGTTTATTCTGGACTTAGGAACTGAGCCCCGGGAAAAATAATGTATTGTAACACCAACGCTGTTAAATAGAATAAACAACATTAAAAATTTACTTTTTTATTTATTTATTGCTTAGATGGGTGGACGAGCTCACAGCCCACCTGGTGTTAAGTGGTTACTGGAGCCCATAGACATTTACAACGTAAATGCGCCACCCACCTCGAGATATAAGTTCTAAGGTCTCAGTATAGTTACAACGGCTGCCCCACCCTTCAAACCGAAACGCATTACTGCTTCACGGCAGAAATAGGCGGGGTGGTGGTACCTACCCGTGCGGACTCACAAGAGGTCCTACCACCAGTAAAAAGTAAGAACTTTGTTTGTTATAATTTTTGGAAAGATTCCTCTATATTAAGCTATATGTACATACATATATTTCACACGAATAACATCAATTGTAATAATTTAAAAGTATGTATTCAAAATATTCCATAAATACAGCAGTCTTTTGATCGANTAGGCGGGGTGGTGGTACCTACCCGTGCGGACTCACAAGAGGTCCTACCACCAGTAAAAAGTAAGAACTTTGTTTGTTATAATTTTTGGAAAGATTCCTCTATATTAAGCTATATGTACATACATATATTTCACACGAATAACATCAATTGTAATAATTTAAAAGTATGTATTCAAAATATTCCATAAATACAGCAGTCTTTTGATCGAGTTAATGTTTTTGTCTTATTTATTTTGATTGTTTACAAACACCTGGCGAAATCTAACCGTTTCTTAATAATGAGTACTTAATATTTTAAATTTCACTGTTAATGGCTCTTAAAGCAATTTCCGTTAAGACTCCTCCGACGAAGGTCTACAGGGATCAAAGACTAAAAGGTGTTTATTGAAACAGCTTTCCGTTATACCTACAACAGATTTTCATTAATTTATTGACAACATTTCCTGTAAGCGTATAAAAAAATACCAAAATAGTATTAACATTTTTTAATATCAGCAACATTATTTTGTCGCTCTAACTTATTCTTAGAAAAATAAGTGGCCGGATCAAGGGTGTAAGATGCGGGCACGTCTTCGCATGCCTAATTTAATCCTCGGCTTATTGAAATAAAAACGACATAGGTTTTCGACAGGTGCCGCGGGTTTCCGAGGGGAGATTCCGGTCACAGGTGCCACCGATGGTCGCGGCATCGTTAAAATTTACATAAAGTCTCAATCCACTAGAACGAGCGACGCTGCCCACCCCACATTTATGCTACATTTAGTAATTTTATGATAATTTCGAGATCGCTACCGCCACCCATCGCATTATACTAATAGACGGATTCTTCGAACGACGTCGAAAAAAAATTTCGTACCGCCTCAAAATAATAAGTTTCAGTTAATAAATGGCGTTCGATGTGAAACGAACATAAATTTTTTTGAGAAATTAATAGCAGATGTGTTTTTGAGTAGCGGGGCGTTGGACCGGGTGGCCGGTTTGCTGTTACTGACTTTGAAATGCATAAATTCAGTCGTAGCGTTTTATGCTTTACCGAAAAAAAAAACTTTTGATAAATGGCCCTTGAAATCGAAAAGTTTTGTGCGTCTAAAATTCCCATATACGATATTAATGCACCCCTCGGAAATTAATTTCGTGCTGTTACGAATATTATGTCCATGAAAACGCTGCAGAGATTGCATTAGCTGAAATTTAACTTGTAACCACACGCTACATAAATATTGTGGTTATTTGATTAAAACGAACGCAGGTAGCTTTAGGCTACTGTATGGACTAATTGACTTAGCAAAATTTATTTAGGTACTAGCTGACCCCGCAGACTTCACAGTGCCTCAATCGATAAATAAAAGCTCTAAACTTTTGTATAAAATAAACTTAAACACATCAAAGGAAAAACAAAATTGTTATTTTTATTTAATTCAGAGCACTTTCATATTTATCTACCTTTTAAACCTTCTCTGGAGTTTCACAAATAATTCAAGACCAAAGTTAGCCAAATCGGTTCAGCCGTTCTCAAGTTTTAGCGAGACTAACGAACAGCAATTCATCTACTTTTATACTACTATTATAAAGAGGAATGATTTGTTTGTTTGCTTGTATTGAATAGGCTCCGAAACTACTGAACCGATTTGAAAAATCCTTTCACTGTTTGGAAGCTACACTATTCCCGAGTGACATAGGCTCTAATCTTTTTGAAAAAAGTTAGGGATCCTTACTAAAACCCCAATAATATAACCCAAGGTATAAAAAAAATACCTAAAATATTCTTTACATCGCGTGCCCTGCGAAAACTATTGATGATAGAATAAAATAATGTACTACGACTTTGTAGAAGACATTATTATTTACAAAAAGTGTCGCGACAGCATATGTCTAACTATTTTAGTCATACCGCAATAAGTGTTCTTTTATTTAAATAAATAAAACAAGGTCAAATATCGTTGAAATTTTTGTTAAAGACCCGAGCGGAGCCGGAGCGGGCCGCTAGTTTTTATATATAGAAATTTTGATAATGTCTTGTTTTGTTGCAGTCGAACTTGACGCACCTGCCTCGTTACGAGTACGTGCCGGGCATAGGGATGGGGGTTGCAAAATGCCCGTATGATCCAGCGGACAACTCTACTGCTTTGTGGGTGGAGAAGGGCAACCCTGGCAACCTGCCCGCACTGTACTCGGGAACTAACGCCGAATTCACCAAAGCCGATACGGTGATCTTCAGAACGGATTTGCATAACTTGACGACGGGACGACAAGAGTTTTCCTTCAAGAGAACTCTGAAATACGACTCGAAGTGGCTCGACAGTGAGTATAAAGTCTCGTCAGCTGTTTTGTTTAGTTTTAGTTTCGAGAATATTCTTTACCAACTACTTATTTATGTACTTCGAGAAAGTTCCACAATTTTCCAGCGAACTAATTGTAATCTTATAAGAGCAATAAATTTGCTGGGAAGTTGTATTAATATGAAGTAGTTCGTTAAGTATGTACATATGTAGGTTTAGCCCCAGTGTATGCGTTTGCCCAATGTTTTTCTTATGAACTTGAAATTTGGAAAAGTTGTTGTTGAAACTTCAGAGATTTTTTTTCAAAGTATAAATCACGTACGATAGCTGTGTAGGACCTCTTGTAAGTCCGCACGGTTAGGTACCACCACTCTGCCTATTTCTGCCGTGAAGCAGTAATGCGTGTCGGTTTAAAGGGTGAAGCAGCCGTTGTAACTATACTGAGACCTTAGAACTCATATCTCAAGGAGGGTAGCGGAATTTACGTTGTAGATTTCTATGGGCTCCAATAAACACTGAACACAAGGTGGGCCGTGAGCTTGTCCGCCCATCTGAACAATAAAAAAAAAACACGCATTGATTAGAAACCCTCTTTTGCTCCAATTTTATTAAAATGCACCCACACAACAAAATCATATTACGCCACTATAATAGTCTTGTAATTACGATTTCACTGACCCATCAATACGTGTAATCAAGCTCATTGTAACGTGATTGATATCACTATTAATCCATTCATTGCATTGAACAATCAGTGAGCATCCAAAAGCTCGGCCCGTAATCATTAGTACAAATGTACATTTATAGATTCAATTCTCGCAGAATAGTCGTGCTTGGGAAAATAGACGAGAATTGTTGACTAGTATTTTGATATTGTTAAATAAATAACACAAGCAAAAATAATAATTTAAGCCACTTTTACGATTTAATCTCATGTTTATTACTGTAATTAAATTATTTCTAACGTTTTATTTTATTGCTTAGATGGGTGGACGAGCTCACAGCCCACCTGGTGTTAAGTAGTTACTGGAGCCCATGGACATCTACAACGTAAATGCGCCACCCACCTTAAGATATAAGTTCTAAGATCTCAGTATAGTTACAACGGCTGCCCCAGCCTTCAAATCGAAACGCATTACTGCTTCACGGCAGAAATAGGCAGGGCGGTGGTACCCACCCGCGCGGACTCACAAGAGGACTTGCTTAGGCAATAAATAAAAATAAAAAACATCCGTATCGCGTAAGCCGAAGACATCAAAATAAAACTTGCTTAGTGCAATTAAATAAAATTGAAATGAATCAGATAAACGAAATCAAAAGTTAGGAAATACAATTTTATTGGAGAAATTAAGACAAGTATGTTTAGGATAAACCACAAAAACAATCGAAATTTATTTGGTTTTTCAAAGGCAAATTAGATTTCGAACGAAACGGGAATGACCCGTAGTCGACCTAATTGGATTACAGAATTACAAACCTACAGAAATTCACTTTCATATATCGTTGAAATTAAAATATAATTCAAAGGAAGAGTTTATTTTATACTACTTTTTTTTAACAATAGGTATGCGTTCTTTGACTTGGGAAAAGAAAAAGTTCATACATTTCGCTTGCTTTATTAAAATTATTATACACTAGCGACCCGCCCTCGCTTCGCTTCGGAAACATTAAAACACACATGAAACCAAAAAAAAAAAATATTTTTTTTTTTTAAAAAGTAGCCTATGTTCATCAGGGACAATGTCGGCTTCTAATGGAAAAAGAATTTTTCAAATCGGTCCAGTAGTTTCGGAGCCTATTCGAAACAAACAAACAAACAAATCTTTCCTCTTTATAATATTAGTATAGAAATATTATACACATACGTATATTAGAAATGAGATCGCTCTGCCGTCTGTCTGTCCATTTGACACAGTATATTTTGTATAGATCTAATGAACAAAATGCTTAAAGGTTTTCCTAATACTATGTTTGTTCAAAATTACATCCAAACAATGCAATGTTCCGTGGCTTAAACTGATTTTAATTTTGAGGTCCGTTATTCACTGCGAACGGACAATAAAATAAAAACTACTTAATGCTATTTGACGCTTCAAGGGGAATAAGAAAAATTTAACTTTACTTTATACTGCCTTCTAACGCAGACATAAGGTCCAACTCATGACTTTGCGGCCAGTAGCGTCTCCCATGCATTTTCCGTCCGATGGGTAGTTTCCTCGTTAACCTTATTATAAGCAAAAAAAATTTTTTTTAAATATCTAGGTGACCGGAACTGTCGTTTATGGACATTAGAATTGCCAGAGATACAACCAAGCCGAAGTCTTACCGCTCAAAAAGCTCGTTGGTATAATTTTGAAGCAATAATTTTGAAACGATTAAGCTGCTATTACAGGTAGGCAGCGGCTTGGCTCGGTAGGCAGCGGCTTGGCCGGTAGGCAGCGGCTTGGTTCGGTAGGCAGCGGCTTGGCTCGGTAGGCAGCGGCTTGGCTCTGCCCCTGGCATTGCTGAAGTCCATGGGCGACGGTAACCACTCACCATCGGGTGGGCCGTATGCCCGTCTGCCTACAAAGGCAATAAAAAATAAAAAAAAACTTACCCCGAATTTCGGGATTACTATAAATCCAAAAAAGTCGGTACAATTTTCCAGATCGTTCTGTCTCAATAAAACTGCAAATACATGGATAATGTTCTTTATTGCTATCGTTATAAATGGCACACTAACAGGTTAATTTAGTTTAATAGTCAATTCATTAGGACTACTAAACTCACCTATATACCAATAACCTACCAATTAGAAATTGATGTTAATATTAACTTATGTATTAGTTGTTCAAATTTAATATTACGTATGTGTATAGCTTTTAAACAGATGCATATTTAAAAATGCTATTTTGTTATTTGTCTCAGAAGGATCATTCAATAAAATAACCAGCACATAAAAATATTACAAATTGATCTCTTTCTAGCAATTTAAAAACCAAATGAAAATTTCCTATCCGATAATTCCGCATTCAACGTAATACTCATAAATTAGCTTATCGGCACTATTAATTACAACCGACTTGAATTTATTGATGTATAAATTTTAATATTTCCAATGCTTTATTGCTTCGTTATTCATCTGTGCATAGGTACTTACTAGATAATTAAGATATCTGGCGTGCGTCGTGCGTGCGTATTCTGTAATCCCAAACACGTGGCAATTTCATTATGTCACCAACAAATAAGCACTTATTAATGCGAGCATCCGACCTTCTCTATATTACAATAGTCACCCACGGCTTCATTTAATATTTATTGCACATCATATAAAATAACAGCAATTTGATACCACCGTATTAACTATGATTGTGGGAACGGTAAAGTTGGTTCGGTAACATCAATGTACATAATTAAATATATCACGTAATATGGTAAGGTTTTATTATAATTTTCACGCATAATTCACTTTAATAAATGTCATTTATTGTTTGAAATAAATAGATAATGAGGTCGCGGGAGCTAATATTATTAATGTCTAAATTTTAAAATTATTAGACAACTTTGCTTAAAACCCATTTTTGTTTCAGAGCCTAACTTCGTTGGATCGTTTGATGTTGGTGAATACGTTCTATTTTTCTATCGCGAAACGGCTGTAGAGTACATTAATTGCGGCAAAGCTGTGTATTCGAGGGTGGCCAGAGTCTGTAAAAGGGACACAGGAGGCAAGAACATTTTGAGCCAAAACTGGGCAACTTACTTGAAAGCCAGACTAAACTGCAGCATACCCGGAGAATTTCCATTTTATTTTAATGAAATACGTAAGTTTACCAATTGATACTATCCGCATACCTAAGTTATTTATCTACATATCCATTCACAGAGTGTATTGTAGCAATTCCCAATAGCGAAGAAAGGAAGCAGCACCCTTTATTTCTAATTCTATTAGAATATAAATTCCGATATAGAAAAAGGAACAGTTTTTTTTGTTTCACCTTTAATGTCATCGAACAACAAATCAACTGTACAACAAATCAACGAACCTAGGTTCTCGTCTCAAAACAACAATGTTGTTAGCCAGTTGTTAAGACTGGGTATGCAAAACCATTTGAATTTACTTTTTATATATTTGTGATTTGAATCAAGGATTGCAATCGCGCTAGGCATCCACTATGGATATATTGAGAGTTCACAAAAGTTGAACCTATGAAAACGTGAGGTATGGTTATTTTCATTAATTAATTTTGTGTTCTATTTGTCAATAGTTTACTGACTGGAAAAGTCTACTGACACTATTATGAAATTGATTAAAATATTATATTTTCTGAATAACTTTATAGTTTTCGAATTATTGAAAAATATTCGTTCTTTGATATGTGCGTGAGATCTTAAGCAATCTAAGCCATTTGAATCTGTCTGTAGAAATATATTGAAATTTTTGATAAGTTGTTTCTTACATCTTTCAATGATCTTAAACAACTAGATATGACTGCGTGAAATTAGTAATTTTGACTACTTTCAAACTTATCAGATAATAATAGTGGATATACCATAGATACGTACATGTAGAAAATAAGGGATAACTATTGTTAACCAACAAAGCAGCTAAACATGTTTTTTTGTGAATCACATAAAATTCAAAATGAACATTGCAAATATAAACTACGCTTATTTATTTTGCAAGCACATCACGACGTGTCTGAGTACTATTCGGCTTCAGAACTCGTGTAGCCGAAGTCTAGCCGCTCTCTCGTGCCAGACTTTCTCATACAATATTTACGTCAGCCATTGGACCGATGCACGGTTTTTCACGCACCCTCACTACCTGTATTGCATAACTCATGAGAATCTAATAGGTATTCAAGTGTTCGCTATTTGCTCGCGTTATTTACATGTCCGTAAAGCGGCTGATTTATTTGTTGCTGATTGCTAAACATCTATCAAGAATTTTACTGGGCATTTTATATATAAGCCCCTACGAGTAGGTGTGACTGTTTTGCTTATTTTCGCCAAGAAACCAACGTAAGTACCCGTTTAAATGGTATCACACGTAAAGCCCAATCTAATCGAGACTTCGACCTCATGTCTCAAAGTGGGTTACGACAGTTATTAGTGATGTTACATAGGAACAGCCACAACACAAGATTTGATATCGCTTAATCGTCTAGTGAAAGGAAAAAACAGAAAAACATTCAAAAATTTTCATCATAAATTTATTGTTACATACTTAAATATATGTATGTTGGATATGTGAACACCTTATCTAGCAATATACCGCATATTGGTTGCTTATCAATTATATCTAAGCTTCAAAGCGGTGGGCAGACTTTTAGGATAAAATAAAAAAATAATAACTAGATTTAAATATCAGTGGTTTTGGTTGTTTGAAAAGATGAAACAAACAAAATGAAGGAAATTTATTTTTATTAATTATTAAAACTAAGTAAATGAATTAAAAATTTAGTAAATCTAGTACATACCCAACATCAATTTCATATTAGATTATATTAGCACAAGCATAGAAATATAATTACAAATTATAAATTAACAATGAAGTCGAAGTTCAGTCGATCAATATTATTTAGTACATTTTTATTATGCATCAAAATAATAAAATACTAATGCTCCAACAGTATCCTGAGCATGATCGCAAGCAGACTGGACTGTACATACATGGGTCGCTGTGGTGCCATCTCCCATGGGATGTTACCACAGTAATTCATTGTGATGTAAATATAACTACTAACATAGGTCTAAGTCTTATTAACAATTTATATGAGCCATGGTTACTTGAAATAAAAACATTATTATTATTATTATGATTTTTTGATTTCTCACTAATTCTCAACTGCTAGTAAATCGTTTGTTGTAAGTAACTTTTAAATTATTTTAAGCGTCCATTTTTGTTCATTTAATTGTGATGTTTCAAGAAATAGTTATGCTATTCTAACTATCAAAAAAAAAAAACAATGTTATTCCACTTACTTTTTTTTGTTACAGAGAGCATTTACAAAATTCCCGGCGACGATAGCAAATTCTATGGTGTTTTCACAACAGCTTCGACTGGTCTCATGGGATCTGCGATTTGCACCTTCACTATCGGAGATATTCAGAAGGCTTTCGAAGGGAAATTCAAAGAGCAGGCTTCCTCCAGCTCAGCTTGGCTTCCGGTCATCACCAGCAAAGTACCGGAACCTAGACCGGGGACTTGTGTGAATGACACGGCATCTTTGCCAGACACAGTCCTTAATTTTATTCGGTAAGCCTAAAAGTTGATAACGAATTAAGATATTTGGAATATTAAATTCACTATTCAAAATAAGGTCGGCCACTCCACATGAAGCGTTTAAGACGAAGGTTCGAGAACTGTTTCTCAGAGAGTTAGCAGAGTCATCTAATAGATAATATTTGTTTATATATGTATTTATATGTATATATTTATGATATGTATATGTATATATTTATGTATATGTATTTATTTAAGTACGAGTATTTGTATCTATAAATATTATGTATGTTATATATACACATATGTTTAAGTAATATCACCTTCACAATACACCTTCCAAGGTTCTCTGCACTCCCCTAAGGTAGACTGACTTTAGACTTTATACTTTCTAGTATATGAAGTTATAAATAAATAAATAAATTAGAATTTAATTAATTAAATTTACATTTCAAATGAATAATATTTAAAACAGTCTATTAAAAATTTTTCGTTAGTCAATATAATTATTGCCAGCTCACATCGCTTTACTGTACACAGTGTTGTCTATTTCTATACATACATTACAATTTAAAAAATATAGGGTGTTCTATAATTAATTCGTACTTTTGCTTACTGATTCTTCTGACCACTGTGATCTTGGAATTCAAGTTCTCAATCGGGATTCGTATTTTTACCAAAGACATTTTGTGTGCGCGATTGAGGTATAATCTAGTACAGTGTGATTGTATTCACGTTACACATAATATAAAAGAAAATCCTAATTCGAGATTGTTATGTCACTGTAAATATATATTTATTTATATTACTTGACGCTTTATTCTCACTTTTTCACAGAGTAATATCAATAGACTATGTTGCCTATGGGTTCTGGCAATACTTGCAGTTCAGCCCCTTTGTTTATCTACCCCAATAAAAAAAATGACCTAACACATGTTCTTGTGTTAATTTTACAGACCTAATTACAAGTTGAGACAGTAAAAGCTTAACATCAAATGTATGTGCTATAATTTTGACGATAGCGTAAATTTGATCTAAAAACAAAATATAATAATATAACGGACTTTGCAAAAGATCAGTTTCGTTCTTATTTTTCTGATGTCAATGTTCATTTTTACAACAACAACAATATGTTGCATTACCCGTTGTTCTAACAGCTTGAAAAACTGAAGGCAAATATACTTAAAACAAATTAGTACAGAGCCTTCTCATCTCGTTTCTTTATTTGAACAACAACGATGCTCAGACAGAAATTTACAACCTATTGTCTTACATTCTCATTAAAAAAAAAAAAAACAGCAAACGGTAGCACCGAATTAATTTATTTTCAAAAACTCTCGAGTCCTCGGATCCGTAAAAAGAACGAAACAGCCGCGTCTGTCGTTATTGTAACCGGCGCGCCGGACGTAAACAAAGTAGAAAATCGTCACTTAAAAAAAACGTGGAACACGCTTCTGTAGCTGACGAGGTCTCCAGCGATTTCAGGATTCCGCGCTCATTGAAATCCACAGGCACTTTTATCTGGCGACACGTCCTGTTAATTATCCGACGCCTCTCACCCGGAGAGCGTTCAATTATATTTTTTTCCCGCTTTTCCATGATCCTCATGTGGAAACGTTGAGATTTTAACACTCCACCTGAACCAGTCTGCTGAAAATAGTATAACATTTTTTATTCATAACGAGAGATATGAGATTTAATTAAATGAATGAGGTATTTTATTGTCAACGTTGAAGGTGAAGAGGCAGGTATTGTAACGTTTGTGTCGCCTCCCGTTATCAGACCCTGTACACGACGTTATTGTTGTGAATACGTGTTTTAGCTTTTGTTCTTTGACATCTCTTCCTTAATGGGAAACCTTTACCGCTGATGTGATATTGTTATGAAAGATCTTGTTAACAAAACAAAGAGAAGCAAAAACATTTGTTGGGATAACTCACGCGTCACTGTTTACTGGTCGTTGGGCGTGCCGAGTTTCTCTCCTGATATAAAAAACATCCTTCCTATTTGGCCTCATAGGATTCGTGCATTTTGATTTGAGAAATAGGGCAGCCATGCTAAATGATTATTTCTTACACTTGAGTTTTCAAACTTTGGCGATTGTACGACTCCTAAAATCAATTAAATAAGCACATTTATTGAAATAACCTCTTGTGTACATTTCTAGTACTATATCAGATATAGACTGAATCTCCAACAACAACTAAACAAAGTTGTAACTGCGTAAACGCAATTTAAACGAATAAAAACCTTAATCAAACTAACATACGTTTGTAATTTACTTTCTATCATTTTAAATTTATATAAATTTCAAACAGGTCACATCCCCTTATGGACAGTGCCGTTTCCCATGAACATGAAAAACCGATTTATTACAAAAGGGACTTGTTCTTCACGAGACTTGTGGTAGACAGAGTGAAGGTCGACATGATGGGACACCAGTTGGACTACACCGTGTATTATGCTGGAACAAGTAAGTGTTTTAATATTAATTGAGTGCAGTCAAAACCTTAAGTTATGAAATTTTTTTTTAAGCTCTATTGAAAAAATAAAGCTAATTAACATAGTATTTTAACAATGAAATGAATAAGTTTCTTATGTAAATGATACAAAACAAAATTTAATTGTACTCAAATTATTAAAATTTTCCATTAAGAAAAGCATAGTAAATATTACAGTTGCGTGATTCACGAATAAAAAAACTATAATGACTATATATATTTTTAAACATATTGCTGTACAAACATACTTTTATTACAGTATATCGTAAAAAATAGGAGTGCAAATTTACGAGTCCACTTTTTCAATTTACTACTACTAAAAAACAGGTCTGTTAATAAACTAGTCTGCTATCAAGTGAATCACCGTCTACGACGGCACTTAGGTGTAATCACAAATTCCTGAGAATCTACGTATATATATTGTGTATTTGTTAAGTTAATTTCGTTTTATTTTCATTTATACGCTTTCGATATGTAAATGTAAAATTATGATTTAAAATTTCTTTTAAACACTATTTTCTATTTGGATGATGCGTTGTGAATTCACTCAAAGAATAATCAATCATATTGGGCTGTGTATCAATGAGGTTAAGCAGAAGAAGCGCGCGCGTCACTGGTGCCTCCGTCAATAAGTTAAAACCGGCGTGCAGCAATTAGTTATTATTAAAACGTTGGCAACGGCTTGGCTCCGCCTCTGGCATTGACGACAACCGTGAGCGACGCTAACCACTCACCATCACGTGGGCCGTATGCTCGTATGCCAACACGGTATATAAAAAAAGTAGAATTTTTGTGGACGACGCGCGTCGCCTCACCACACTCAACCGTCTGTCATACAACACCTAACACGCTTTATTATATTCTCAATATTGTCTCTCGGTAAATAATTCAAAGCTGCAGAGAATTTTATACTGTATTAATGAAAACAAATACGAGAATCTAGTCCCCAAATATGTATTTGTGACGATAGCTATTACAAAACACAATATGTTTGACCGAAGCCTGTATACTCGTATATATAGTTATAAGTACTATAATTCGAAAACACCGAACATTTTAACGTTAATTTACCGAGCAATTTCAACCACTCGGTGGAAGATCTTACCTTAGTCGTTTATCCTCAAATATCTTTGGACGTGGCCTGAGCTACAGTTAGTCAGAGTCACTAACAACTTGACCAACGAGACGATACAAAAATTCATTCTGCTAGTTACCATGATCTGTCCATACTAGGAAGATCCTATTCTTAATCACATTGATCCTATTTTACATTCATGATTAGACGAATAAGCTTGCAACGCACTTGATGATTCGTAGTACCGGCGATCTTAGATATAACAGCGTAAATACACCATCCACCTACACGATACTTGATGTCGATTGAAGGTCAAAATCATCATAATCCCAGTGTAATTGTCATTTCGATATCAATGGACAAGATAGACAAGGACGTTCATATCATTCCGTCTAGGGTCGTCGCGTTGTGAGTTCTACGATTAAAAACCACCATCTTTACTAATTGAGAAGTCATTTGTATTATTCATTGATGAAGCACTCGTTACAATAAAAAAATTCGGAAACTCGGAGCCTCCCTCGAAACAATCAGTAAAACGGACACCAGAGACATAAAATTTCATAAAAGCCTCGTGAATTAAAAAAATACCTTCCCCTGGGAAATTAAAAAGTCGAGCAAAAGTGGCACAAAGGCCATAATTCGTCTAGTCCATGACGGGCAGGACCTGCATACCATCGCCCGGCACGGCTCATGCACTATGAAAAATAGGATTTAGTTCAAAACACGAAAAACCTATTACATTTTCATTGTTCCTCGTAAACAACGTCCGAAGGTTGCTTTTTTCTGTTGTTGTTTTTAACGTCAATTTTACTGACTCTCAAAAGGCTTGCAAATCCGTATTGGCAATAACAGTATTCGCAGATCGGGTGGCTTATTAAAAACTATAATAAACTCGTAGTCTAATTTATGTACTAAAATGAAAAGCAACTATTGAATTGCATTTCTAAAACAGCAACTCCGCAGCTTTGATCTTAATGTGGACTATGGAAACCGCAAAGATTCCCTGACATCCGCCAAGATACAGAATAGACCGCCGCCGCCGTCTCTATAAATGGTTCCAAGTGGTGATTTTCGCCATTGTTTTGCAATTTTCTGCGAAAATTGTTCCTGACGCAACTCCCTGTCTAGTGGATTAAACTCACGTAGATATCTAACGAAGGGGGTGTTCGTTTACGGAACAACTTTTACGAAAGGAGAATCTACGTTTGAGCTGCCGTTTGAAATTCACGTGTGGAATATTAAATTGTTTAAACGTTACCTTTGACGTACCCTCCGCAATAACATATTCACGTACCTTAATTATTACTTTAACTTAATCTACGCAATATAACTTTGTTCGAACGCTCTTAGGTCGTGGAAAAAGTTTTTCCAAAGAACCAACATCCGAGTTTAATTGGACAATTTAAAGCGTAACTCAACAAAAAATGTTTAAACGCAACACTTGTACCAGAAAGTACGGTCAATGGTAAAACTTATTCGAAATTACTGTGGTTAAACTGCCCGAAAACATAGTTCACTATTATTCAAACTCGAGTACAGAATAAGTTGCACGAAATTCTGTCACAAAGAGCTCGAGGCGGCCCGCGAAAAAGGACAGTTTACTCTTTCAATAAAGAGTGCGGCGTGCCCCGGCGTCTACTATGGTAACATTGCCTCCCTCTTACTCCATTTTAAGTGCTTACCGCATTATAATATGCATTAAACTGCAACGGCAGAAAGTTGTGGCGGTGCTCAAAGTGTTAGTTGACAATGAGAAATGAGCGTATGATGATACTCCCGCAATGCGCACCCTTGCTTTGCCTCATTCCATTTGTTTTATCGCGCCCAAATCACTGTTGCTATACAAGTTACGAACACTCCGCAGAGGCTGATAAAACTTTGACAGCGACTGTCGTGTGCACGCCCAGAGATCGTGTTTGTCAATGAAAGGGAACAGAGGTAACAAAGACTTTAAGAGCATTTAGAAGTTAACGAAGTTAATTAAATTCACCGAGTTAGTCGTCGACGCCGCGACTCTTTAGCGTTAAGAGCGCCTTCAAAACAAACAAACATATTAATGTTATGTATCGCACGAGCACGGCCCGTGTTAACAATGATCTCGAAATGTAATTACGTGACGTTTGTTCTAAAACATAAAAGAATTGAGTATAACGAATGTTTGTGTTTTACAAATGTTTTGTTACGCGCTGGAGTTCGGCATAAATAAATGTTCCACCAAAGTATAACGTAAGAACACATAGAACACCTTAAAATTGGCACTTCACTTCTTCCGCTTCGCTTCAGGTGATCCGTTCTCTGTTTCGCTTCGAGTAGTTCCGATTACTAACTGACTGCGTGCCATATTTCCAATGCTTTTATAGCCGATACCACATCCCTATAATTATCGAGTACATTCCTCACAAGTCGAGTACCTTCGATGTGTGTTTCCGCTATCTGACAATAGATGACGTTGTACTTCCGAGCGTTCTAGATGTTACTAGATCCTTCGATATTCGTTCGGCTGGTCGACGATAGATGGCGTTACTCTTACCGTCATAACAGTATTAAACGATATTTAATGACGAGGATGCTGTGTGGAATCGAATTTCAGGCAAAGGATCAACTTTGATTTGAGAGTACCACATGCAGCCAGTACTATTAAAAATGATTTAAAATTCACAGAAGGCTCAGCCTCCGAACCGGTCCGGATTCAGCGTACCAATTTGATGCTGTAATTATATAAAGTCAAAGTCGCAAAACGCTGCCCTTTGATGTTTTCAAATTTAGTTTTCTGAACGCTCCATGCCAATCATAAAGCTATAGACTTAATGCTTAATTAATATGTAGTTAATAACATTTATGCAAATTAATACTTGAAGATGCAGCTAGCCATGTACTGATGTATCAAATTATCAATAATTATAATACATAGTTGGATTTCGTGTTTGCTTTTAACATTAATTTGTACTGTGGCTGAATCGATTTAAACGAAACAAAAATCATAATGTCCGTTTAAGTTTATTTAAAAACATAACTCGTCTTCTCGCATTAAAATTGTTTAATCTCAAAACTTACTAATTTTACAAGAGAGTGTTTTAAAAGTTTAACATTTGATATTTTTAATATTAATCATCTTTGCAACATTTAATTTTTATTTTTTACCAGTTACATTATCTGTCTTTTAAAGTAAGATAAAATTATATATTAATATTGTTAATGGTAATCAAAATATAGGTATACATTAAAAAAGAAAACTAAAACTAAACTACGCTCTTTTGACAGTATTTATGAGAAAAATACTGGTGATACTAAATGATTCCGCATATTAACTCAATTTCGAATATTTTTGGAAATTATACACTTTTAATGCGAAAAGACGAACTGTTAACTTTTATTCTGATACGAAGAATAATGTCGGCAATAATTTACAACGCACCTCACCAAAAATGTAGCGGTGCGCGCCGAATATCGATGTTATAAGTATCGGAAAGTCATTTGCTTAAGTGCATGAAGTCCAAGTTTTGCCATAAACATGAAATGCGGTAGTAGGATGATATGTTAAGGTAGTTCTTCCGCTAGGAGGTAATGTACGCTCAATGCAGAGCTTATATGAGAACGCGGTTAAGTCATGTCGATATGTATGCGGCTATTTGTGGCGGTCAAACACGGTAGCTTAGCATATCTCGACGCTTCATTGCCCACAAGACGAAAATGAACAATATTTATTGTGGGGCTGCGATCCGATATGCCAGAACGGAATTCACGAAGTAATTTATAGTTTCAAATGCCTTACTCTCCACTGCTCTGGACAAACTTAAACCGGCGCTCCGTGTATTTTGATTTAGCTTCGAACATCTACTGCATACAGCCCGATAATCTCGTGGTTTTAGCTCCAAGCAATATCGTTTTACCTAAAAA